AGAAGTGTGCCTGTTGGTGTTTAAATCTGAATGTTGGCATTATCCCAAAGCTTTTAGCAAGTTTATCCATAACCGTTATGATGTCAAGAAGCTGGGCAGCTGAAACATCTCTGGCTTGGAGCGATGCTTCATGACCCTGAATTTATTCGAGACGTTCACACCCAAATGAACCTGGGAAGCCTGTCAACACCTGAGTTTTCTTCCCTTTTCCTTTGCTTGGTCGCATGCTTAGGTGCCTCTCAATCCCGAGGGGGAATATCTAAGCGGAACCGCCAGTGTCTGGAAGAAGAGAATATTCTAAGATGAAATTCTTCCCGTCATAACAGATTTGTAAGCAGATTCTGTGTGTACGCAGCTGGATTTTTGCATACTTATTACATGCTCAGCTTACAGACAGCCCGGGTTGGTCTTTCCACAGAAAGGTTAGCCAGAGAGGCTTTGCTTGCCTCAGTAAGGCACCAACAGCCACCTGAGCAATTTCCTGCACCAAATCCAGATAGAAGAGCAAGTTAGTGAACCTCTAGATTTCTGTTGACTCCTAAGTTTATAGGCTGCCATAGGACCAGTCTGGAAGGGTGAGGCTTTCTCATTCTTTCTGCAGAGAGTACACTCTGAGGAAGACTGATGTAGCCAGTCATCTCCTAGGGCCACTTTCGAGCTGTGATCTGGACAAGCCTTTAGTAGAGAGGCTCCCTCAACTCCGCTGCTTCGTGTTACAAAATTATAGGTTTATAGGTTCTCTCTCTCTCTCTCTCTCTCTCTCTCTCTCTCTCTCTCTCTCTCCTCCATCCTCCCTCTCCTTCTTCCTCCCATTCTCCTCTCCCCTTCCCCACCCCCTCCCTTCTTCTCTTTCCCCTCTCCCCCTCTCCCCATCCCCCCCTTCCCTCCTTCTCTCCCTCCTCCCCTTCTTATTCTCCCTTGCCACGGACCGTCCCTCTCGGAGACCACTATCCACGGGAGAACAGGGTGAAGGATAGGATAGCCAGGATACGATGCAAGGGAAATGACAGACAGACACACTGTGTAGTGAAAATCTGCTGCGATTTTACTTCTGCAAAGCTTCAGTTTTTGTACAAAACAGATCAAAGAACTTGGCAGGTTCACTGCATCACCCCACTCAGGGTTCCAGACATAAATCAAGGTTAAGCATAATCAAAATAGAGCTTCTTCTACGTGCTCCTTTCTACGTGCTCCCCTCTACGTGCTCAAGATGTTGGCAAGGACTTTTAGTTTTGTTTTGTCTCTTAGAATTCTGTCTCACACCATTATTTACATTCTACCGTGGGAGACTAATTCTCAGGGTCCTGTGTTTAGCTTTCCATCTATATAGTTTTTTATTCTTTGCTCCATATTCCCTAATAGTTTTCTCATTTTCTCAGGATAGTTCCTATACCAATATATTAAAGCTGGTCTCATGTTTTCAATAATTTCCTTTCTTTCCTTCTTACTATAAAGACACCAGGGCTTCTGAGATCTAGCTAATCTTTCCATAAAGGGGAATTTTCTCTAACTCTCCTTTTCTCTCTAAATCTGATTCACTATGACGATTCCCTCATAACATATCAACTTTAGCCGCTTCTGTTTCATAATTAATAAAGTTTCCCAGGCTCATGTGGCGTGGGGCATACTTTATTTCCTCAAGGACTGCTTTAATGAACGGTGGAGCCGAGCCAAGGACGTACTTTGATCTCTTGGTAAGCGGTCAGCTATAAACAAGAAAATTAAGAAATACAGAGAAAGATCAGGCAAGGTGTCAGGAGGGCTCGCTCTCAGGGCCATCTCCAGATACGAGATCTGCCTCTGGCATCAGGTCCTATCTCGACCGCTGATTGCCAGGGGGACCACCTGGGGCTTCGCTCCAAGAAGCTCTAACCCCAATCCTTCAGCAGGCAAAAGCCAGCGCAGAGGCATTTTGTCACTACACGGCAGTCACTGCTGTGGACGTGGCACTCCCTGCCATTGGCTTATTTAAATCAGAAACCAAACAAAGCAAGTCTTCACACTGACTCCACACTGATCTTGGTTAAGCCCTTTCTAATCCGGGCAGGCCTCGCCTCCTCCGCATTCTTTCTCTTGTGGGCGTGTCCATGGCTACCTTCTTTGCGTTAGAGCCTCTGACTCAAGGTACCAAAAAAAAAAAAAAAAAAAAAAAAGAAAGAAAAAGAAAAAATTTAATGTTTTAAGTAAGTTTGTGACTTTCATAGTACACTGTATTGGTAGCTATCCTGAGCTAAACGCAGTCCACAGACTGGCTCTCAAAAGAAACCCGTCATTCATCCTAAAGTTTCCAGTGTCATTTTCTGTTTCTGGGTTGTGCTGATCACCTTCTATGACATCAGATTATATCTTTTGTTATCGCTGTTTCCTGTAAACTGTTGGTTCTACTTAGATGTTTGTTCTTGTTCTGACTGGATTTTGTACTTTCTTGCAGGAATACCTCAGAAGAGACAATTTCACTTTCCTTGGGAGGTATGATGTCCAACTGTCCTTCTGCAGTGTGAGCAGGACTTATGACAATGCCTAGCTCTGACATGACATCTTCACTCTTCTCTATACTTTTATTGATAGTTTGATCATTAAAGGTAATTTGAGACTTTTTTGCAGTGTGTTCACGTGTGTGTGTGTGTGTGTGTGTGTGTGTGTGCGCATATTCACATGAGTCTGGGCACGCACATTGCACAAGTCTGTGGAGGTCACAGGTTGGTGTCAAGTGTCTTTTTCAATCACCCATCACCTTACATTTTGAGTCCAGGTTTCCCACTCGAGACTGTTGGCTCAGCAAGTCTAGCTATGCAGCCTGCTCCAGGAATATCCTGTCTCCACATCCTGAGACCAAGACCGAGGGCAGGCTGCCATGCAGCCTGGCTTTCTTATGGAGATCCGAATGCCAATCTTCCCACACACAGGAGATTCTGCCTTTTACCCTTCGCCACCGTTACACACGGAAAAGTTGAGATTTGGTGTCAAATTAGAATTGGGAAAGAGATAATAAAGTGATGTGATCTCCAACAGTTTCAAAATGAATCTCAGATTCGTTTGTGGGTGAGAGAGAGAATCACACTGTCCAGAGTAAATATTACTGCACTCAAAACAGCTAACCAAGAAGCCCATGAGTCCCTCCCTCCCTGTGAAAGTGACCTGAAGGGCCTTGTCCATCAGACTTCTAACGTGGATATCGAATATCAGCAGCAGCTTGTTTGAGAGTCAGCCTCCAGCAGAGGAAAGATGATTAATCCCAGCTTCTCGCTTTCTTTTGCTTGTTTTTTTTTGTTTTTCAACACAAGGTGTCTCTGTAACTTCGGAATCTGTCCTGGAACTCACTCTGCAGACCAGGCTGGCCTCAAACTCACAGAGACCCACCTGCCTCCTGAGTGCTGGGATTAAAGGCGTGTGCCGCCACCACCGCCAGGCAGCTTCTCGGATTTTTAACCCTGTCTCCAAACTTGTCTTCCTTGTGTTTATTTAGCATCCTGCCAGGCTTGCTAGGCCACACCCCCCACATAATTAGCAAAGCTCTTCAATTCTTTGGTCCTTTCCTGAACTTCACTTTATAATTGCTTTTCCCTCCTCCTCCTCCTCCTCCTCCTCCTCCTCCTCCTGTCCTGGGGCTTGAAACAAGAAGACCTGGCATACTAGACAGGCATTCCACCATTAAGTCTGCGCAGCCCTTTAATTTCCTCTTGAATCAGGCTAGAATCTGACTCTAATTATAGATCTGGAGAGATGTAACGAGAATAGGCCTGAGGGAACTGGCGTCCTCTCTTGAGGTAACCTCCTCAACCTGGGGATTTTCAATAGCAACAGAGGAGCCAAAGTGTCAGCTGCCATGAAGTCTAAGAATTACATCTGGGCTTTGAGCTCCTCCAACTCTGCACTATCCGGCACTTTAATTTTACAAATCCTAATCTTTCTGGATCAGCACGCTGATAATGCTCATATATGAGCCTGAGTAAGAAAGCAGACGAACTGATCTGCAAGTCTGCAGTCAATAATAAGACCCTGTGTTGTTTTATCTGAGTGCCATGAGGGTTTCTTACAACACATTCACGCTTTCAGTTTCAATGCGTGTTCTAAGATGCAAACCTAGTGTTATTTCACTGTTCAGTCTCTTGGCGGAAGCAGCTCTAACATCAGTGCCCAGCTCTGGAGTTCTCTATGCCCTCCACACTGTCCTGGAGCAACCAGTGGTCCTCCATGGTTCCAGTGTTCCAAGGCATTCCTTGTATTAATCGTTTAGCTACTGAAGGCATGGGATTTCAGAGTCCTATCTTTGATATTAACTGATTTTTATTATTTTTCAAAATAGTGAGTCCAGATAACCAGAGCCTCCTCATGTACCTAAGAGTTTGTTTTTAGATAACAACACCCTATTGCCAACTTTGGGGTGTGTCAGGATTCCTAGTGGCAAGCATTAGCAACCAATTCTATGTACCTTAACTAGAGAAGAATGTATTGAGAAATATCAAGTACATCACAAAGTCCCCAAGGAAGCTTAAGGCCAGGCTCAGGACACAGACAAGGGTCAAAGGGGGTTGACAGCTGAAAGCTAAGGACCCCTGCAGGCACAGTCGGTTATGGTGCTTCTGAGGCAAGGTCAAGAACTGCGACAGACAGGAAGAGGAAGTTGCTACTTCAGGGGAAGTTCCTCTGTCACTACTGCCTCCAGCCCCCTCTCCTGGACTGTTAGCATCATCAGTGTGGATAAGTGAAGTGACGGACACAGTGCTGCTCCTGTGTCTTATTCCTCGGGACTCGGTGTCACTGTAACGCTGGGCACACTTCATCCCCAACCTCTCTAAAGGAAAATAAAAATATGCCCTTTTCTAGTTTCCATGATGAGCAAAGTGTTCAGTTACTGAGTAACAAACTCAAACACACACACACACATATACGAGAGAGAGAGAGAGAGAGAGAGAGAGAGAGAGAGAGAGAG